ACAAGCCTGGGGACTCCGGGCGGAGGGGGGTTAACCTCGGGGGTGGATTGAGGGCCAAGGCGGGTTCACCCCTAGGAGGCGCGTTGGGTTTTTTTTAATTCAAGGGGTTTGTTTTCTTCCAAAGACTTGGATGGTTCCGGCCTCTCAGTTCCCATCGCGGTGGAAAGTCTGCCCGGTGGAGCGGGAACGCGGGTTTCTGCTGGTGCTCTAACGCGCCGCAGGGAGGGGGGTTAACCTCGGGGGTGGATTGAGGGCCAAGGCGGGTTCACCCCTAGGAGGCGCGTTGGGTTTTTTTTAATTCAAGGGGTTTGTTTTCTTCCAAAGACTTGGATGGTTCCGGCCTCTCAGTTCCCATCGCGGTGGAAAGTCTGCCCGGTGGAGCGGGAACGCGGGTTTCTGCTGGTGCTCTAACGCGCCGCAGGAGGTTGGGGGCTGCCCGAAACCTAGCACCTTTCTTCTGTTGCACGTGATTGTCTGCCCCGTGCCCTTTGCTGCGCGGCCTTGGTCTCATTTTGTACTACACTTTAAGTGCTACATAGTCCTGTTTTTTGGTCTCCTTTTGTACTGCACTCCTGACGCCGACCGGTCTTCCTGGTGTGTGGTTGTAGCACACAGGTTACAGCGAGAGAGAAGCTTGAGAGTTGTGGGGCTTCCTCATTGCTTTCTGTTACCCTGGCTGCTAGATCTTAAAGTTATGTTTTCTGTTATTTTAGTCAGTAAAGAGTGAAATAAGGCTCTGGCCTTTTTGAAGGCTGGAAACATGGCAGGGGATGCATCTCTTAAAAAGGTGTAGTGCAGAGAGATAGTGTTGAGGTTGGTGGTTATTCAAAAACCATTTCCAGGTTTGGCTGCTGAGCTGTGCTTCAGGCTGAGGCGCAATTCATCTTTCTCACCTTCTGTGTGTTACTTTAGACTAGTTTTGTTTTACAAGGCTAAAACAGGCCAAAATTGTAGTCTTCAGGGTAAGACTGCAAGCAGTACTTAACTGTCTCATTGCAGATACGGGGGAAACATTTCCATGTCTGTGATCTCTTGGGATCAGATACCTACATATTGTACTTAATGCAAATAATTTCATTTGCAGAATTTGACCTATTAAGATGTAGAAAGTTCCTTAAACTTAGCACAATTTAAAATAAACTATCCAGTAATTATAAGAATTCAGGTAATCTGTTGAGCTCCTTATTTGTCTGCTGGGTCACTCCGGTCAACTACCATGTGTAAATAAGCAGCAGGCACTTAAAATATTAGCTGTTACACAAATGAATACAGTAAATGAATTATTTCAGTTGTCCTCTCAGGCTGTCACTTGTGACTCCGAGTGCTTTAGCATCACCTAATAGTGCTGCAGCAGTGTGGAAATGCAAATTCTTACAATAATTTAGATTATTTAAAAAGGTACTGTTACTATAGATCTTATACCAGCTTTAAAATCTGACATTTGAAAACTTAAAGCAGAGTTTACAAGATACTTTTGAAAAATAATAATACACTTTTCACAATTTTTTTTCCAGAACTGATATCCTGTTTAAATGGAATATAGCAGTTCATGTTTGTGTTTTTTGCAGAGTAATTTTATATTCTAGACTGAAATCTAACATAATAGCCTGGTTGCCTCCAACCTTGCGATAGTAATTTAATTAATATTCAAGAAAAAAAGAAAAAACATTGAACACAATTTTGTTCAATGACTATCTAAACCAGGAAACATGACATCAAATTTTTGTGGAATATCTGCCACTTCATATTCATTGTTTTAAATTTATAGAACGTGTTTGAAGTTCGCTAGTTAGTTCATGAGTAGTGGATGATAAGTAACTGACATGTATAGGGAGAAGGGCTATTAATATTGATGTTACCACAAACAAGATTGGGCCAAATATTTTAAAGACAAATTTTATTTAAAATAATGGTTTACATTTTCAAAAAACCCTTTCATGATTTTTTTGCTCTGAGAATATAACTATGTGAGCTGATGGTAATGAGACAATATTTCCTTTTAACATAAACCACTGTGTATACAGGCAAATAGAAATTCTAAGGAATAGTTAACCGCAAACGTATTTCATAACAGGATAAGTCACTTGCACCAAAGTCATATATCAAAGTACAGTGTTAAACTTGACTTATATGTAAAACAGCTTTACCTTTAAACTATAGGAATGTCTCCCTATATTTTTATTATGTTGGTATGTGCACTTTGGTAGTGATTATTACTTAGCTCCCAAGTTGAGTATTTTAACATGGAATAGAACTAAACATTTGCTTATTCTTTTCATGATGTATTGTTCCATAAAAATCTGCATGCTGGGGATATTGTGATTATTTCATGAGAATCCAAACATTGTGTAAACACTTTTTCTCACCTTTGATTTTTAAGTACAGGCAGTCCCCGACTTACGCGGATCCGACTTATGTCGGATCCGCAGTTACGAACGGGGCTCGCCCTGAAGGACACGGACTGCGGGACCTCGCGGTCCTGCCGCCCGTGTACTCCAGGGCTTTCTCCACGTCTCCCTGGTCTGCAGACCAGGAAGCCGCGGAGCAAAGCCGCGGAGGGGCTCGGGCAGCGGGGCAGCCCAGGCGCGCCTGGGCTGCCCCACTGCCCGATTTTTAACAATACATTGGTGTGGGTTTGGGGGAGACACTGATAGCCAGTCA